AGTGTTCCTGTCACTGTACCGCTCCCTCCACAGCACTGAAGTGGAGGATCCTGAAGAGCACAAACCTGTAGAGGAAGATAAAACTGTAAGCGGTTACGGCTTCCCACCCAGGGCAGCACGCTCAGGGAAAGGCAACCATAAAAAAACATGTTTCTTTAAGATTTATCAAGCCTCCAGTAATCTTATGAACCATTCTTTAGGAAAACTTTGGCAAATTTTTCCTGTTTATATGTTGCCGTTTTTTTTTTTCTTTAAGGTTGCAGCAACAATGTTTTAAAGAAAACTCTAAATTTTCAAAACTAAAACGTCTACAGAGCATCTAAAGTGGTGTAGAATGAAAGTATTAATTTATGGTAAATGGCGTGTACTTATATAGCTCTTTTACAAGTCAGGAGACTTGACCAAAGCGCTTTATTCTACATTCAGTCATTCACCCATTCACTCACACACTGATGGTGGTGAGCTACATTGTAGCCACATCTGCCCTGGGGCTCACTGACTGAAGCCAGGCTGCCGTACACTGGCGCCATCGGGCCCTCTGACCACCAACAGTAGGCAATGAGGGGGAAGTGTCTTGCCCAAGGACATAACGACACTGAAAGCAAGAGCTCAAACCGACAACCCTCCAATTGCAGGGCAAACTCCTGCCAATGCCGCTGTAAACCATCCATTTTTAACTGATAAACATTGTATATAAATACTTGTTTTATAAATTTTGACTGGTCCAAATACATTAGGGGTGCTACTAATAATTTTTTTTGCAAATTGATTATTCTGTTGATCAACTATCAGAAAGCAAAAACGTCTTTAAAGAAATTTTTTTTACGAAATTAAACCAAATGAAACTCAAACTTTACCATTTGAGGAGTTCTGGATAAAATATATTGACAGATAATCGTTTTGTTTTTTTATCTTTAATGCAAAATTTTTATAAATTGTATTACCATCTTGGTATAACAACTGCTCTAAGTGGGTCGCTCTGTCAGATAAAGGCCCGTTTAAGAGTCTCTATTCTCCAGTTAAAGCTACAGTGTGTAATTTTCAGCGACATCTAACGTCCAGACTGCAGACTGCAGCAACATGAACATCTCCCCCCCACCGCTTCTCCCCCCCAACAATACGGCGAGCGTTACGGGACAAAATGTCTTCCACGACGTCGGAATCACCTACCTTCTCAGTTAATGAGGTTTGTTTACATAGATAATTTTACAGATAGTATTTCATTAGTCTGTGTAGGGTATAGATTTGATAATAATAAATATATCCGTTATTTTTATTCTACATCGTTGTGACGTTTTGGTGAGCTGCTTTGCATGGTGATATAAACAGACGAAGTAATTGTAGTCATTAGTTTAACAGCGAGATTGTGTTCGCTGGAAGAATACCGGTATATATTCCCCGTTTACAGAGTCCAAGTCTTGTTTGTGGCACGGGGGTTACAACGCGAGGAAGAGGGAAAAGAAGAGGGCAGAGAGGGCGGGGTGGGCGTGCAGCCAGGGCCAGGCGAGAGAGAGGTGCCAGCGGGGGTTGACTATAGCGGAGGAGGAAAGAATTGAAGATCTCCAAAGGAGCCGGAGAGAAGTAACCGAGGTATATATCCGTAGCTCGCTAATATGCAGCTTCATATATCTGTCTCTCTCACACTCACACACGCCACTATCAGCTGTGGTAATTTTATGAAGCTGTGGCCTTACCTGTCCAAGAGAAAACTGGCAACTTGAGCGTCACTTTGAAAACCTTTTTCCTCCGTCAGTGCCTTCCATCGTGTAAATGCCGTGCCAATGTTGATCCGTGTTTTTTGCCGTTTCTTGTCACGCTTGCGTTTATTCTCGTCGTGTTTCCGCTTCTTAGATGATGGGGGTTCGGTGTCCGCCGCTTTTCGTTGTGATACAGAGTAGGCATGATCCTCCATTCGTCTGATGTTTGGCAACACAGTGCCAAACAGTTTGCAAAGTCACTCACGCCTGCCGCCTTGATCACCTTTCTTGTTACTGAAGCGCAGTATACCTGCTTCTTCTTCTTCTTTGGTTTCAGGCAGACTAAACGCTTCTCAGGCATAATACTGCCATCTATTGTTCAGTACCGTCTCAGTTAATCTCTCAACTTGCCGTAGTTACTTTCGAGCGTAATGGGCGATCTCACAATCGCTAGTTTGTTGCTTCTGCGCTGCCGTAGCGCAAAGATGTCAGCCTCCATGGCTGCGAGACCCGCTCCTATGTAATTATAAATAACGAATTCTAAGGCAACGTAAATATTATGGTTAAAAGGCTGAGCTCATAGGTGATGATAAATAACATAGTTATGTATAATATATTCAATTTCTGACTTTATATCCCTGTAATTATTACACACTGTAGCTTTAACGATTAATCGAATACTAAATTAGTTGACGATTATTTCAATAATCGATTAATTCAATTAATTGTTTAAGCCCTAAAATATATATATTTTTTCTCCTGTTACGTTGCTAACAACATAAGGATTCTGCACCAACAGGAACAGCAGGTTGGTTGGTTCTTTCTGGCTACGTTAATATTAGCCAATTCTGTAGCATTAGCTTATATTTAACACATCTTTTGCCTTCCCAAAGTGTCTTTGAGGCCTAAATCAGGGTGTTTTTACTTTTGATGGCACTTTTTAAAATGAAAAATGTACCTGCCTGCATATGGAGGGGCCATTGTACATAAAAATCTAAAACTGGTTTAAACATCGTCAGTTTTAAAAGTTTTAAAGCTTTTCCTTCCATCTCAAAAACCTCAGTTTCAAATCATTTATTGCTTGGGGAAAAAAAAGGAATTTTAAACAAAATTTAAGGCCCCAATTTAGCTTAGAAAATTCACTACATACTAATATGGTTTGAAAAGTTACTTCAAACCACTTATAGGAGTTTGCAGCCAACATCTTAAAATTATGGAGTAAATGTTGTTTCATTATATTTTGGAAGCGAAAAAACATTTTGATTAAGAAAAAAAGAATACATTCCTGAAAATTAAGTTTTGAAAAACTTCTGGATTAAAAGAAAAAAGGTTAATTTTGCTGTTTTTGTTCATTGTTTTTTTTTCTTCCAAATTTTGTTTTGTCAGAGATTCTTTTTACATTTTTTTTTTTTACAGTTTACATTTTTTTTTCTTTCTAGGGGCGGGCTTTCCTCTGGAGTAGGGTGAAAACAATCAGATTAATCAATAATTGAAATAATCGTCAACTAAGTTAGTAATCGATTAATCGTTAACTGGAGTATAGAGACTAAAGCATGCCTTTAGCTGAAAGAGTGACCCACTCAGAGCAAGAATTATACCAAGATCGTAAAAAATATATAAACATTTAGCATTTAAGATATTAAAAAAAATTTGTCAGTCCAGAACTCTTTAGGTGGAACATTTTTAGTTTCACTTGTTTCATTTACCGAAAAAGTCTACTTTAAAGAACCTTTCTATATCCGATTATTAATCTAAAAAAAAATTAAACAACAGATTAAAATGATTTCAGAAATAATTTTTAGTTGCAGCTCTAGAAGCACATTAGCAGTGTTGGGATTGGGCTTCATGTAAAGAGAATGTGATCTAAACACTATGAGAAAAGAATAAAAATTTGTAAAACTCAATCTGAAAAGAAATATGAAAAAAAAAAACATTTTGAAAACGTTTGATTAATCAAAACGAAAAATAAAACATGAAAAAAAGAATATGACAAAGCAGCTAAGTTCCTCTAAAAATCTTTTTTTTTTAAAGCATGTTTTTCAATGTTTTATTTCTGGATTACACTTTCTTCAATTTAATTTCTGCTCAGTGGAGCAGTGGGTTGCACTGCTGCCTTGCAGCAAGAAGGTTGCGGGTTTGATTCCCGGTCCAGGGGTCTTTCTGCATGGGCTTTGCATGTTCTCCCCGAGTATGTGTGGGTTCTCTCAGGGTACTCTGGCTTCCTCCCACAGTCCAAAAACATGACTGTTAGGTTAATTAGCTTCTCTAAATTCCCCTTAGGTGTGAGTGTGTGTTTGTTTTTGCGTTTCCCTGCGATGGACTGGCAACCTGTCCAGGCTGTACCCCACCTTGCCTGTAGACAGCTGGAGATAAGCACCAGCTATCCTCGTGACCCCAGCAGGAATAATGGTGACGGAAAATGGATGAACGGATTTTCTTTCATTTAATTTGCACAAAATGTTCTTTTCAACAATAATGGTACTACACGTCCTCCATAATCCAGATTGAAAAACAATATTAATCATGTTTTAATTCCCCCAGTCACATTAACACAATGACAGCCCACAGCTGCTGAAGTAGCTGCCTCCTTTCAGCCAGCTGACCGTAGTGTGCAGCAAATCAGCTTTAATATGCTCTATAAAACAACTGAAATGGTTTACAGTTCTTTACTATTTTTGATATTTAAAAATAAACCCATAAAGCCTGTCAGTGCATAATATTTTTCCTTTCTTATTTAAATCCAGAGTGCGTTTATCAGAACCGAGCTTGGACCCGAATCCTCAGCGCTGCGTCCGGCCTGCAGCAGCTCAATCAGTGGGTACTAAGTTCTGGGTGGAGTTAGTCAAATGCCCCCTCAGATTAAACCATAATGAGCTCAGGAGGCACCCCAGGCTCATGCTGGCTGACCCTCATGCCGGGAGGGGGGATGGGGGGTTCTCAAACTTCCCCAGCTCCTCGGTCAAAGCAGGTGGTTTCCCAGCAGAGTGTAGAACTGGACCTGCAGAGGTCTCCAGCTGGCTAATTGATGCTTTAAATCAGGCACAGCCACCGTGTTTAGTAACCCCTCCCGCGGTGGCACCATCAGCCGTGGAGGTTCCGCTCTTCCGAAGCGAACTTGGTACCAAGTTTCAGCCTCTGAACGCCGGCGGCTCAGAAACTTGGAGCGGAGGCTCGCCGCGGCGTCCAGCTGTCGGTACCGGCTGGTTCGCTCTGATGCTTCCCCCCAAAACTTCTGTTCGCGCGCCGGTTGGAACATAAAATACATTTTTTTTTTTAAATAAATGAAAATACAGCGGGACTCACCTGAAATGACGAAGAGAACGAAAAGCAGCGAGCCGCGGCTCCGCGCAGAAAAGAGCATCGTGAAGAGAAGCGCGCGAAGCATCCCTGGCAGAGGAGCGCTGGAGACTGGAAGCTCCTCAGCAACATCTCCGAACCGCATGTGGACTGTACCATCTGGGCCGGCAGGAGGGGGGAGGCCGCGGGCACACCTGACACTGACACTGGCTCCACATCCACGGCAGCCTCCCCCTCCAGGAAGGGTCCATTGATATTCCCATTACGTCATCTTTGTTGATAATTCCACGGATATTGATTCATCAGATGCCTTTTTTTTCCGTTTCCTTCGCCTTTTTCCTAAATGAAAATACGAACATAAAGTAAAGAAATTATCTTTTTGTAATTAGTTTATTTTAGAAGCTGGCAGAATGTTTATGGACTGAATTTTGCTCCATTATTGTTGCAAACACATTTAGTAAACAGAGATGTTAAAAAAAAAAAAATGCCCCTTTTCACATTTCATGAATTAAACTTTAAAAAAGCAATGAACTTTTTAAGAAATTTTATATTTTTCCTTTTTTTATTTTATTTTGTATATCATATCTTTTTCCGATTGAGTTTCACAAATTGCATTAATTTAAAAAAAATTGCTTTCCTCTGGAGTGAGGATCAAAGACATATTTCTATTCATTCAACATTTGTATTGAGACCAAAGAGAAGGGAATTCAATCTGTTAAACACAATCTGAAAAAGAGAAATTAAAATAATAAAATCTAAGAAAGCATTGATGTTAATACTAGTTTCATTTCTTGATTGTAGTTTTTTTCAAGGTATCCATTCACAAAATATATTCTTTGCCTGCAGCTTTAACAGAACAAAATTCACTCTAAAAGTAAAGCTAAAGTGATTTTCTGGATTAAATGAAAGAAATACAATTTTCAAACTTATAAATTAGGATAAAACACCTAAAAACAAACAAACAAAAGAATAATTTAAAACAAGAAATAATGATTATACCAACTAATCAAATTGGAAAACTAACAAATAAAAAAAAAAACTACAAGCTGGAGGATGTTAAAACTTGTAACTTTAAAACTTTAAGAATTCATACAAATGAAGAAAACATTAAAATATTACAACAATATAGACTACAAATTAGACTATGAAAATATCCATCTCAGATCCACTCGACATAAATTTAGCTATCTTCTATCTTCCAAAAACCGTTTTATATTCTTTTAACATCTTTTTGAATATATTTATGTTTACTCTTTGTTGTATCTCCAGACCATCCATAAAGTCACCCCACAGCATTTGGAGGGATCTCACATCCAGCTGTGAATATCAACAGACTGACTTTTGCTTATTCCTCTTTCCAATGAGCCAAAAAAGCATTGATTTATTTAAAATGTTGTTTGGATGTTTCGTCTTGCACCGATCAGCTGTCCAGATGGATTCAAAAGACATGATGCTGCCACCGTGTTTGTGGTGTAGATCCTTGAGGTGTATGGAGGAGCAAAGCAAATCTTTGAATACAACAATGTTATTGTCGCATTGAATAAGTAGATTTAAGTCTTTCTCATGTATGTAATACATGATAAATATATTACAAGCACAATTAGATAACGAAACGTCCCATTAAAAAATTATAAATTTATCGAAAAATATTAATTAAATGTAATTAAAAAATAATATTTCATTAAAAAATGAATATAAATATTTCAAATGTAGGCTTGAAACTTTTTTTTGTCTAATATTAGCATTATTTTCTTCTTTGGTCATTTAATGATTTTTGTAAGCTCTGTACTTTCTGGGACAGCTGAAAAAAATCAACGTGCCAAGGACAATGATGGTGCACTTCTACTCCTCCATCATTGAGTCCATCCTCACCTCCTCCATCACCATCTGGTACTCTGGTGCAACCCCCAGGGACAAGGGCAGCATGTCATCGTGTCTACAGAGAAGGTGATTGGCTGCAATCTTCCATCTGTCCAGGATCTGTACACCTCCAGGACTCTGAGGCATGCAGGGAAGATTTTGGCTGATCCCTCGCACCCAAACTATTTCCGACAGTTCCCTCTGGCAGGAGGCTGCGGTCTATCAGGACCAAAACCTCACTTCACAAGAACAGTTTCTTCCCATCCACTACCAGCCCCATCAACAAGGCCCAGAGACCCCATTGACACAGACACTGCCCCTCTCCCTCCCCCGTTCAGCACCTACAAGCCACACCAACGTAGCATCTGCAGACCTCGTGTTACATTTAGGGTAAACATTTAGGGTTAACAATAATACTTGGTGGAAACTAGTTTTGCCTCATTCATAGCTGCACGTCTTTTGTAAATGTACTGCATCAAAGTACATTTGGGGTCTTTTGGGGGTTAATCTCTACAGCTCAGTGCATCTAGAGACTGAAATGTTGCCAGATCTTTTTTTGCAAAAATTCAAACCCATAAATTCCTACACGGTAAAAAAAAAAATGACCTACAGAATTTACCCAAAAAAGTGAAGGTAACATTTTAAACCCAGTTTAATTCAGTACATTTACAAACTTTTATTAAAGTATATCTTATTTATATATCTATACAATACCAAGAGAAAAAATTAAGTAAAGAGTAGTAAACATTTCAATACTGTAAACTTAAATTTTTTGAATCAGAAAGGCCTTAGGCTGGGTTCCAGTCTGAGCCACCACCCACCATCAAAATGAAAAATAAGAACACCTAAATAATGATGATGATTTTTAAACAAATATATTTATGGAACGCAATTTGAAAACAGTTAGTTAAATTAAATAAATCAGAATCCAGACCCATTATATAGACCAGGGGTCTGCAACCTTTCATATCCAAAGAGCCGTTTTGCCCAGAGTACGACCAAATAAAAGCTGTTTAGAGCGGCAAAATATACCATGACTTTAACTAGAAAACCTTTTTTTTTTTAAATCTTGTATAGGACATTAGTTGTTGCCATCTCAAACAATCAATTCATCTATTTTTTATGTTAAAACGTATAATTTTCAAGCTAATTCATAGAAAAATGTCTCTTAAAACATATTTCTGGTTCTTTTAATCTCATTCTTTTCCATCTTATAAAAAACGCTAAAGCTATTGATACCGGTATATATTACAGTAAATTATTTAGCTCTTTATGTACATTTTAGCCGCTATTAAGAGCCGCTGGAGAGGGTCCAAAGAGCCATATGTGGCTCTGGAGCCGCAGGCTGCAGACCCCTGATATAGACCAAATGCATGACTTAAAGGTATAGTGGAGGATTTTCTTTTTCTGGGTGGATCATCAAAATAAGTGGTCCTCCTAATTGTCAATCATTGTGGTGATATGTTTACATAAGGCCGTCCTACGTGCTCCTCCCCATTTTCAATTACCAGTGGTGAGTCTGACATAGTGGAAAAACTGCAAATCTTCCTTTGGAAAGTAAGCTTGTATGAGTAATGCAGACAGCAAATTTTAAACAGAGCGTGCATGAGGAGAAGTGGGCTTATGCACGCTCTTGCAAGCATTTAATAGGCTTTTCCTCTCGGGAGCTGGTACAGGGATGTGCATGTGCAGTTTTTGTGTAAAGAGGGCGGGTCCTTTCAAAAATGTGTGAAAATCCTCCACTACTCTTTTAAAAACATAAAAACCTGGATGACTCTCAATTTTCTAGCTCTGAATGTAGACAAAACAGAGGCTTTAGTCTTTGCACCAACATCTTTGAAAAAGAAGCTGATTAGTCAGTCATTTCATCTGGATGAGATTAAATTGATCTGAGGTAATAAAGTAAAAAATCTTGTTGTTATTTTGATCTTTATCGGCTTCCTGTTAAATCCAGAATAGAATTTAAAATCTTCCTTATTACTTCTAAAGCCCTAAAAACCAAGCTCCATCTTATATCAGAGATCTGATTGTTCCTTATGTTCCTTACAGAGCACTTCACCCTCAGTCTGCAGGGTTACTAGTGGTTCCTAGAATTTCTAAAACTAGAATGGGAGGCAGATCTTTTAGTTATCAGGATCCTCTCCTGTGGAACCATCTACCAGTTTTAGTCCGTGAGGCAGACACCCTGTCAACTTTTAAGGCAAGGCTTAAAACTTTCCTTTTTAATAAAGCTTATACGGTAGTTAGAGTGGCTCAGGTTATCCAGTACTATCTCCATAGTTATGCTGCTATATGCTTAGACTGCTGGAGGACATTGGGACCCCCTTTTTGTCATTCTGCTTCATTTTATCTATATTCTCCCTTTATGCTTCATTCTATCATTCTGCTTTCTATTATTAAAACAAATGTTATTTTTTTAAAGATTTGCATGGATTATATTAATCTTCAACCAAAAAATTATTTTTAGAGTGTATGTCTTGCCAAAAGTTCTTACACTGGATCATTTTCAAGCATGCTAAGGCCTCATACTCTCTCTGGCTGGATGAGGATGGCCTTTGTCCTGATGGAAGGTGAACCTGATCCCCAGTCCTTTTGCAGTCTCTAACAGGTTTTCTTCTTTGTAGCTGTTGAATGTTTCACACACCTGATGGTGAGTTCAGGGGGATTTGCAGTGTTAGTTTTCATTCATCCACTTTTTTTCTTGCTACTCTCTACTCTGGATTCTATGTCTATAGGGGCTTGTTTCTTTTTCCATTTTTAACTGCAAAACATGTAAAACATTCAGTTTTCAAAACCTGATCACCTTGTATTTGTCTCTCAGCATAACTCCCAATAAATGACAAGGCTGTGGATACTTTGGCAACCATGCTCTCTATGGAAAGGGTTCATTAAGCTTTCAAAATCAGATTCAGTGGTTTTTGTGAATTAAAATTTTCACAGCGCCACACATCTTTCTGTAGTTTCTTCATAATGGAGCAGAAGACCTACCCATCTATCACCGTACTGTTACACAGAATGTCCTTTTTCTCCCTTTTGTTGTTGTATTTCTCCCCCCACCCCCCGGTTCTCTCTATTCGGCTATAGCGAAGTTCAGAAACAGCTAAATCAGCAGACATAGACAAATGTTCTGCAAGCACCTGGGTTTCTTTGAGAAGACTCTAGATGGGAGTTACAAGATTCATCACAAGGTTTGCATTTCTCCTTAAAGACGTGTAAGCAATATCTAGGTGTCCCCTTGCCTCTTTTTGTCCTTTATTGTTTCCCCTCTGGGGGCCATTGAAGAGGCCTCCCTGCAGCCTACATGCTCACATGGCTGCAGAGAAGC